CACTAATGTGCTCACTCAGACACTGAGAGACAGTGCAGCCTGGAATAATACCATTTTTTGGTTCCTCTCCTAGGCCAAGGCCGCTGGTGATGATGAGGCCATGTTCATAGATGAGAACTTCTGTACCGCCCTGGAATATGGGCTGCCCCCAACGGCTGGCTGGGGCATGGGCATTGACCGAGTCACCATGTTCCTCACGGACTCCAACAACATCAAGGTACACAAGCAGCCCTCCACAGCACCCACTGCCCTAAAGAAGCTCCATCGTGTTGGAGGCAGGGCATGGTGGACCTGGAGAATAAAGAAAGGGCTCTGGGCTGAAAGGAAGAGCGTTCAGAAGAGCTTATCTGACTCCACAGGAGGAGGGTCAGAGCATCTAACCCTAAGGGATTTTGTTTTTCTCTGCCCGAGGCAGAAGGAGTACTAATCGTTTGCATTTCTTGAGGAAACAGGGAACATACTAAGCCCTTTACATGCCTTATTTCATTTGACTTAAATTAGTCCTACAAAGTGTGGGAACTTTTTATTCCTTTTTTTTTTAACAGATGAGGAAATCTAAGTTTAAGAGAACCTCTGCATTTGTTCAATTATTTGACATAGTATCCTGGGCAGTGCTGCACATTTGTTCTTTTACACCTTCTGTAGTTGAGAGGCACTGAATTAGAATATAAGAAGAACACACTGTCTTTGCAGCTGGGGTATATAGATCTCTGGGTTTTGGTGGTGACAATAACCAGAGACTAAAGGAATGGGTGGATAGCTGTGAAAACTTTTCAGAGTGCTTACCTTCACAATGCATTTTTATCTCCTGTAGGAAGTACTTCTGTTTCCTGCCATGAAACCCGAAGACAAGAAGGAAAGCATAGCAGCCACTGATACACTGGAGAGCACCACAGTTGGTACTTCTGTCTAGAAAATAATGACTGCAAGCCATGTCAATCTTTGCATTTCTGCAAAGGATCAAGGTCTGCAGGGGAATTTTTGTGTGTTGCTCTCCATTTGATTACCACAGTTCAGTTCAGACACCAGAAGAGAGATGAGGAATTAAGAATTCTCTTTATTCCTTATTATCAAATAAACCACTTGTCTCTTACCACTCTTCTTTTTACCTTTAGAATGTCAACTTTGTTCCAGACTGCTGGCCTAATAAAAATTTTAAAAATACATATTTAATGCCTGCTGTGTGCCAGCATTATTCTAAGGGATTGGGGACACCACAGAAAACAAAGCCAAGTGCCTACTTTCATGTAACTTACATTCTTATTTGGTGGGGTGGGGAAGCAGATAAACAAGTAAATACATATTTCTGGCAGTGGTGCATACTAAGACGAAAAATAAAGCAGAGTAAGGAGACAGAGGTGCTGTTTTAGAAAAAGGTAGATGAGGGAGAGTGCTACTTTAAATATAGTGATTAGAAGAGGCTCCTGCTAGGTGACAGGAAATAAAAGACCAAAGTGGATGTCAGGAGAGAGTCTGAAAGTTGTTCTTAAATGCAGAGTAGCTAAAGCGAATGGAAGAAATGAAGAGCTGAACAGAAGATTTCAAAGGGCGGCTCCAAAAGACAAAGTAAAGTATTGAAATGTGCAGAGACTTGGAGTTAGAAAACCAAAAGGGAAGAACATGATCGGCATATCTCAAGCTGAAAGCACTGAAGAAAAAATTCAAGCCTCAAGTTGCAATATTATTCTATGGGAAAAATATTGAATGGCACAGGAAGCATTAAAGGACAGTGGAATACAGAGTCACTGTACCAAAAAAAATTGGTTGACATTCATCCATTTCAGGAGGTAGCATATGATCAAGAACAGATGGTACTGAAGGAAGAATTCCAAGCTGCACTGAAGGCACTGGGGAAAAACAAAGCTCCAGAATTGACGGAATACCAATTGAGATGTTTCAACAAACGGATGCAGCACTGTGGTATGTCAAGAAATTTGGAAGACAGTCTCTTGGCGAACCACCTGGAAGAGATCCATATTTGTACCCATTCCAAAGAAAGGTGATCCAACCGAATGCAGAAATTATGAAACAATATCATTAATATCACACACAAGTAAAATTTTGCTGAAGATCATTCAAAAGCAGTTGCAGCAGTACATCAACAGTAGACAACCAGAAGTTCAAGCCAGATTCACAAGAGGTTGTAAAACAAGGGGATATCATTAATGATGTCAGATGGATCTTGGCTGAAAGCAGAGAAAACCAGAAAGATGTTTATGTGTATTTTATTGACTATTCAAAGGCATTCAACTGTGTGGATCATAACAAATTACGGACAACATTGCAAAGAATGGGAATTCCAAAACGTTTAATTGTGCTCTTGAGGAACCTGTACATAGACCAAAAGGCAGTGTAGCTCAAACAGAAGAAGGGCATACTGCGTGGTTTAAAGTCAGGAAAGGTGTGCATTAGGGTTGTATCCTTTTACCATACTTAATCTGTATGCTAAGCAAATAATCTGAGGAACTGGACTATGTGAAGAAGACGGCATCAGGATTGGAGGAAGACTCATGCACAACCTGCGATATGCAGATGACACAACCTTTCTTGCTGAAAGTGAAGAGGACTTGAAGCCCTTACTGATGAAGATCGAAGACCAACGTCATGACAAGTGGAGAAAATATTGAAATTGTCAAGGATTTCATTTTACTTGGTTCCACAATCAATGCCCATGGAAGGAACAATCAAGAAATCAAATGAAGTATTGTGCATATCTGCTGCAAAAGATCTCTTTAAAAAGTTAAAAAGCAAAGATGTCACTTTGGGGACTAAGGTACACCTGCATGGTATTTTCAGTCACCTCATATGCTTGGGAAAGCTGGACAATGAATAAGGAAGACTGAAGAAGAATTGACGCCTTTGAATTATAGTTTTGACAAAGAATATTGAATATACCAGGGCCTGCCAGAAGAACAAAGTACAGCCAGAATGCTCCTTAGTGTTAGACTTTGGAGTGAGACTTTGTCTCATGTACTTTGGACAGGTTATCAGGAGGAACCAGTCTCTGGAGAAGGACATTATGCTTGGTAAAGTGGAGGGTCAGTGAAAAAGAGGAAGACCCTCAATGAGATGGGTTAACACAGTGGCTGCAACTGTGGGCTCAAGCATAACGACTGTGAGGATTGTGCAGGACCAGGCAGTGTTTCGTTCTGTTGTACGTAAGTCACTATGAGTCAGGACCGACTTGACAACACCTAACCACAACAACAGGTGACATTTCAGAAAAGACTTGGAGAAACTTCGGTAAAGAACAGAAGAGGGCAATCCAGGCCAGAAGATCACAGTTTTGAGAAACAACAAAGGGTCTGGAGACGAGTGAGGGACCAGATCAGGCAGGCCCTATAAGCCAGGCAGAGGAGTGTGTGTGTTAATGAGTGAGAGGGGAAGCCATAGGAGGGCTCTGAGCAGAGGAGTGACATAATCTAGCTTGTTTTTAATGGATTGTTCTAGTTGGTATGTGGAGAGTAAGGGTGAAAGCAGGGAGAACAGTTAGGAGGTATTGCCGTGGGCTGAGGAAGAGACGTTGGCTTGGACTTGGGTGATAACAATGGAGATGGTTACAAGTGGTTGCATTTTGTCTTTGTTCCTGAAGTCAACAGAATTTACTGATAGAATGTGGGTTGTGAGAAAAAGATAATTTAAAGGCTTTGCACATTAAACCTTAAGTAGGTTATTGAATACTGAATATGGAGTTGAATGAGTTTTCTCACTTTTAGCTCAATTCAGCAGGGCTAAGAATGTGACAAGAATGGGGCTGAGGGTGATTGGCTTTTTGGTTTATACAGCTAGAGTGATGGTGATACTAATCCCTGAGATAATGAACCCTGAAGATGATCACTCCACCAGGATTGCTCCTTCTGTAAAGACAGAGGGGAAGAGTTAGTTGCAGATTAAAGGTAGAGAGACAGGAATGAGGAGCAGGGTCCTTAGTCTTGGAAGAGAGCTGTGGCCCTTTTCCTCTGGGACTAGAGAGAACGAAGGATGCGATCGAGCAAGTTGGAGTTCTGGCTTCTCTAATGTTTGAGGAGTAACAAAAAAAAAAAAAAAAAATGAATTCTCTCATCTTTAGTCACTGAGATTTGCAGTTTTTGGATAGTATAGGCTCCTGAACCATCCAGACAGCTCTACTACCTATTCCTCACAATCTGAAGGTTGTAGACCTATGCTGTCCAATACAGTAGCCACTAGCCATATGTGTCTACAGAGCATTTGAAATGTGGCTAGTCCAAATTGAGATGTGCACTAAGTGTAAAACCATATTCCAGGTTTCAGAAACTTAGTATGAAAAATAACGTATCTCAATTTTTAGAAAATGTTGATTACATGCTGAAATGATAATATTTTGGATATACTGGGTTAAATAAAATGTATGATTAAAATTAATTTCATTTGACTTTTTAAAATATGACTACAGTATTAGAAAAATTTAAATTATACATAGGGCTTGAATTATATTTCTATTGGACAGCACTATTCTAGAAAGGGAAACCCTGATGGCGTAGTGGTTAAGAGCTATGGCTGCTAACCAAAAGGTGCGCGGTTCGAATCCACCAGGCGCACCTTGGAAACCCTATGGGGCAGTTCTACTCTGTCCTCATAGGGAAGCTATGAGTCGGAAGTGACTCGACGGCAACGGTTCGTTTTAGAAAGAAATTCACACTAGTGTTCCAAGACATGACATCATTCTACTATTTGAAACCCATACAGAGGACTTGTTTCCTGCCCAGTAACGGGGCAGACAGCTTCCATCAGCCATTTCCCTGGGTACCTAAATGTACTCCAGGGACTGCAGAAATCTAAGCACCTCCACTCCCGGCTCCGCTCCCTGAAGAACTACAAGGTCCAGCGTGCATTGCGCGGTCTGGGGGCGTGGTTTGGGGAAAGCAGCAGCAGCTTTATGACGTCATGTCCGCTCTGTAGCCCTGCTCCTGTCTGCCTTTTATGAGGGCGTGTGTCGTGGAGGTGGGAGGGCAGCTCCCGTGGTGACATGGCGTCATGGGGCCGGGGACACGAAAATGAGGGGATTGTGGGGCTGGTGTCGTAGGTCTTTGACTTCTTTGAGCCCGTTTGGTGTGGGAAGAGGTTGTGAGGATCTTCCCTAACGCATCTTACGTGGGAAATTGCCGCCACAGGCCTGATATCACTATCCGCGAAGGAAGGGCTCTTGCCGCAGGCGAGTACGTGGTGTGTGGCCGTGCAGCAGCATCTCTTCGGAACCGAGAGAGGCAGGCGCTCTTGTTGTCCGTACTAAACGGGCTGTGTCTTGCTTAGGGTCTGCCGTCCTGTAACTGGCAGAACCGTAGTCTCTGGAGCTGGCCAAGAAGGAGCATTTTTTTTCGGGGAGGTTTAGGAAGGGAGTCTAGGTCCTCCTCTCAGCAACGCTACAGGCTTTTCTACCCCCAGGCAGCTGACTAGCCGTTCTTCTCTGAGAAGGAAGGGGGTTCTTCTGCTTTTTGCAACTGTTACAAGATGGGGTCTTGTGGGCAAAGCAATGCCTGTGTAACTGAACTGTTGTTTCAAGTGAAGAAGTTATTCAAAGTCTAGAAGGAGGTGTAGATTTTAATTTTAATGGAACCAGTGTATCAAAACATTCAAACTGCTGCATATTCATTCAGAATCAACTATCTGAAGGAAGAGTATGGTGTATTCTGGGCTGCTTTACCATTGGCTCCAATAACAGGCCTGCACACTGCAATGCAGATGGCTCCTTGTAGAAATAATCAACCTTCAGAAGCTCATGAGTTCTCAAAGAATAACACATACCCCTTTTTACTTAATAAAGCCACCTTTTTTTAAAACCATGCTTAGGTGTGTCCATCTCCCTATGAACTCATCTTCTAGTAAGAAGCTTTTCGTACCATTGAGTCCAAATGAGATCAGGACGATCCAGTGTGTATCAGTAGAGCCAAGAGTGGGAGAGTTTCCAGCAAAGTATCCTAGGCCTCTTCCAGGTATGATGTACTTAATAGTTATTTACTCATGATTTTACGTGTCTATTACAGTTCCCCCCACTCCCAATTAGCTCAAGTCAAATCAGTCAAGTAAACTGTTAAATGTTCTTTTTTGTAATAGTAATCACAGTTGACATTAATTATGTTCAACATTGTAGCAATTGCTTTTTATAGGTATTATTTAATCCTCACCATAATCCCAGTGGGTTAGATACTACTGTTATTCCTGTTTTAACAGGAAGAAACTAAGACATAGAGAGGTTAAGTAATTTATCCAATATCATATAGTTAATTTGTGGCAAAGCCAGGATTAAAACTCAGGAAGGGTGACTCCAAAACCCACGCTGTTAGGCACAGCTCCTTTGAGTAGGGGAAAGCTCTATGGGTGAGTAATTACCTAGTTTCTCTGAGTCCTGTGCTTTTTGTAAAATGTTATAGGAGAAATTAAAGGGTAGCTTTCTTGATGGAGCATCAGTGGGGATTTACTAGAGGGAGAACCACTCTACTGTGTGGAAAAGAAGCGAAAAATAAAATGCCTGGAAAAGGAGTCTTTCCAGAAAGATAAACCTTGTATGGTGAGGGTCTGCCCAAAGAAAGCAAGGAAACTAGGCACTCAGATCTGTGGTGCACAGCCCTTGATATGCTGCTTCTAAATGAAAGTGGAATAGTGACCAGACTTCCCTCCCATGTGCTTTCATTTTGAGTAGTAAATTCCACTTCACTAAAATGTGTCAGATGTCCAAGATTTTTTTAAAAGCTTCAAGAAATGGGTATGTCTTCTGGGGTTGATGGGATTCTGGGCATCTTTGGTCTTTCCATTAAGATAAAAAGGGGACAGGGAGGTAGCAGGAAATGATCCACAGAGTTCCTGGGCTACATTTGAAAAACTGTTGAAGCACCCGATATGAAGTTGTAGCATCTTGTATTGGTTTTCTGTTCTGCACCTCTGATGATTGTGGTTTTTGATCAGGGCCTCAGCAACACCTCAGACCATGTGGAATGCGGATGAGATTGCTCAGCTGTGTTACACACACTATGGAACCAAACTGCCCAAGCAGGGGAAGCCTGAGCCAAACCGTGAGTGGACATTACTAGCAGCCGTGGTGAAAATACAGTCTGCAGCTAACTGGGACTTTGATTCCCCTGACAAGCGAGTGCAAGGTGAGGCCTTTTTGCCTTGGAGTGCTCCCTCTCTGGCTCAGTGGCTGCAGACCAAAAGGTTGGCAGTTTGAATCCACCAGCCACTTGTTGGAAACCCTATGGGGCAGTTCTACTCTATCCTATAGTGTCAGTATAAGTCAGAATCAACTCGATGGCAACGGGTATACTGGGACAGTGGAGTCCCTGGGTGGTGCAAATGGGTAATGCATTTGGCTGCTAGCTGAAAGGTTGGAGATTTGAGTTTACCCAGAGGCATCTTGGAAGAAAGGCCTGGCAATCTACTTCCAAAAAATCATAGCCATTGAAAACCCTTGGAGCACAGTTCTACTCTGACACGCATACATGGGATTGCCATAAGTTGGAATCCACTCAACGGCAGCTGGGGATCCTGCGACAGTAGTGGATGCAGTGTAAACTACAATGTTGGGTGTGTTCTCCCAGCCCCCTGCCAGTCAGTTGGCCACAGGAGACCCACCATGCTCCTCAGTGGGGTAGGCCTGTGGGAATCCTCTGGAGGAATGTGCAGACTTATTAAACCTGAGGACCAGGGACCATTCGTACCCTGAGAGCTCACTTAATGATTTATTTTTCCCCCTCAGTGACAAAGGAAGTTGTCTCAATGGGAACAGGAACGAAATGCATAGGCCAGTCCAAAATGAGGAAGAGCGGTAAGCACAGGCAGGAGTCTGAACAAAGCCTGTCTCTTGGAAACTTGTGTCCATGTTGACCTTTCCTCTTCTCATCAGAATAAAAAATATAGAAATCATCTGTGGAAGCAAAGGCCACCAGAAACATGCTTCCTGAGTGAACAGAAAGCTGGCCAGTGTTTTCATGCTGAAACCAGGGGTTCCCTAGGCTTATATTACACCCGATGTCTGGAAGGCTTCAGGACTCCAAAGTAGCAGGTAGATGATGCATCTTGAGTGGCTACTGAAGCCCCAGGAAACAATCTTGAATTAAATAGCACTTGTGGCACCAATCTGGAAATTTTCATAGAAATCTGTGACTTCACGTGACTTCTGCTTCAAGTTAGCAAGTTCTTCCTTGAGTTCGGTTCCCCCATTCTCCTGTTCTTGCCCAACATATGGAGATGCAGTTCCAGGACAATTAGAGATTAAATTAGATGTAAGGAAATCAGTCTTCATTTTTGGGCAACAGGGAATTAATTATATCACCATGAGCACAAGTATGATGTCAGGGTACAAAATATCTGGTCCCCTGTCCTCCTGATAAAGATTCCCTATAAATCAGTGGTTCTCAACCAGGGTGTCAGGTGGCAACAGTGGACAGGGGAGCTTCCCAGGGGAAATCCAAAAATGGCTGCCCTGTGCAGAAGATAGGGACAGACCAAAGAAAGAGGCAGACCACTCCAGGTTGAATAAGCAAGCGGTCTCAGATTTATAATACAAGGCGACATCCTAGGTGGCAGCAGGACGGAAAGATCTCCATGATCTCCACCCCAAACTCTAGAGATTATACAGAGGTACTAATGTGAGTCAGTCATGCAACCCTCCTTCCCTCAAGTCCAAAATATCCAAATGTTATTTGGATCCAGGCTCCTTCAAGGATGTTATGTTCCTTGTGTCAAGGATGTTGTGTTCCTTGCCTCCTGCTTATTTCAGGAATGAGGTGTTTGCCAGGACTGTGGTCAGCTTCAGGCCTGGAGGCAGCTCACAGGTCCTGGATCAGTCATGTCTTTATTTGTCCTCCCAACACAAGAGAGATTCCTCCCCAACCCCTGGGACTTTTGGCAAGGTCTGGAGACATTTTTGCTTGTCACAATTTAGGGGGGTGGTACTGGCATTTATTGGATCTACTGGTAGCATCTAGTAGAGACCAGGGATGCTGCTAAACATCCTACAGTGCACAGGACAGCCCCCACAACAAAATGTCAGTAGTGCTGAGTTGGACTACAGTGCTTTAAATGTATTGCCATTAATGATTGTGATACTTTTTGGCAAAAGCCCTCTGGGAGCTGCATGGCCGTCCTGGGTGCCACAGGAAACTGTTGTGTTCTGGTTTTAGGAACCAGGGCCTCTACAGTTTCCATATGTCTTCACCAAATGTCCTATCTTTGCCACAGGAGACATCCTCAATGACAGCCATGCTGAGATCATAGCCAGAAGGAGTTTCCAAAGGTAAAGCCACATCTCCACAGATTCTTATTCAGCAGGTCTGGGGTAGGGGGTCCCAGAATTTGCATTTCTAATAGGCTTCCAGGTGACAATGATTATGTCAGTCTAAAGACTAAAGTCTAAAGTAGCACTGGTCTAGACTAGTTCTCAAGCCTTAGAATCACCTGGATGGCTCATAAAACACAGATTGCTTGGCCCACCCACAGAGATTCATATTCAGCAGGTTAGGGTGGAGTCCAAGAAGCGTCATTTCTAACAGATTCCCAGGTGGTGCTGATGCTGCTGGTTCAGGGACTGCACTTTGAGAATTGCTGGTCTCGATCATTCTTGTAATTCCAAATCACTTACCACTCCCATTAGACTGCAGTAGTGCTTCCCTTCCTTAGCAGTCTCCCAGCCAGAGCCTTCCCTTTCCTGCAACATATTAGGTACCTTCTTCATCAGCTCCGTTTGGCAGCTGCCCTGAAAGAGGATAGCATCTTTATCCCAGGAACTCAAAGAGGACTGTGGAAACTCAGACCAGACCTCTTTTTTGTGTTTTTCTCCAGCCATACTCCCTGTAAGTATATTCCAGTCTTTGTATTAATGTTACATTGTTTACTTTCTTATGTTTGTTTTATCCATAGATATGTTTCTCAAGAAAAGCCCCTTTGGCTACAGCCAGTGACAGTGCCTTTTTGTGGACGGTTAGTCCAGTGTACCTAATCACTTCTCTACCAAAGGGAAGGTGGAGGTGGGGTAGGGGGAGTTCATTTCACTTATGCTATTCAGTTCTCAAACTCAGGGCTGAAACCCTACAAGTCTGAAACCAGCCATGGGGCTAGACATGCAAAGATCTACTATAGTAACTTATCCTGATACTCATTCCATTTAATTCATTCATTGAACAAATCTCTTATACTACTTGTCAGGCACAATACATGTACTGGGTATATAGCAGTGAATAAGATTAGCACCTTGCCTACCCTTACAGGGAACCATGGTGGCTCAGTGGTTTAAGAGCTCAGCTGCTAACCAAAATGTCAGCAGTTTGAATCCACCAGCCCCTCCTTGGAAACCCTATGGGGCAGTTCTTCTCTGTCCTATAGGGTCACTATCAGTCAGGATCGACTCAACAGCAGCAGGTTTTGGTTTTTGACCCTTATAGGTCTTTCAGGAAATGTAGACAGACGCGGTTAGTCAGGATAAATTTTGGTGAATTATTAGAGTGGTGCAAATGGTTAATGCACTTGGCTGCTAACCAAAAGGTTAGAGGTTCAAGTCTACCCAGAAGCACCTCAGAAAAAAGACCTCGCTATCTGCTTCCAAAAAAATCAGCCATTGAAAACCTTATGGAGCACAGTTCTACTCTGACACACATGGGGTTGCCATGAGTTGGAATCAACTCAGTGGCAACTGGTTATAAGATGATGTTCAGCAGCTGTGGTTGCATAAGGCAGGATGATCAGACCCAGCCTAGGGAGTCATTTCTGTCCTCTGTTTTTCTTGAAGAGTGATAATAATTACTACCTTTTGTATACAACAACTCAAGGATGGCCGTAAAATTTCCTCACCCAAAAAACTTTGAAATAAGCATAGCAGATTGTCCTGTGAGTATTAAATTTTTTAATTATGTGTAATATGTAATTATTGCTGTAGATACGTAGATATGTAATAATTGCTGTAAAGAGGCAGAATAGCTGTCAAGACTGAAATAGCTGTCAGACTGAAAATACTGACAAAGCTTAGGAAAGAATGAGTCTTTTGGGAGTTGAAGGCCAAAAAAACGACAGACAGAGGTAGGCAGAGCTCATCCATACTCTGTTCTTAGCAGTGGGTACCCTGGTCCAAGTACCAAAGGATGTTTCCTTACTCTGTGTCACTGAACTGTAATGTGCATATGAATTACCTGGGGATCAGGAGATTCAGATTCAGGAGATCCCTGGAGTGGCCTGAGATTGTGCATGTCTAACCAACTCCCAGGTGATGCCAGTGGTGCTGGTCTGCAGACCACATTCTACATAGCCAGAGCCTGGCTGATCCCAGTGGCAGGCGTATCCATATTGTGGAGATGATGCATCCAGGGATCACACTAGCCTGAAGGCCTAGTCCAACTATGTAAATCAGTGCTCCACAGACTCGTGCTAATCTGTGAAGAGAGTACTGATCAATGGCAAAACGAGAAAAATAGGGAGTGTGTAGTGAGTTTTTTAAAAAAGCTAATTTCTTGCAATTTAAAGATTATGAGATTTTTAGCTTTTTTTTTCTTTAATAATGGTAATTGGGATTTTAAGGGTCTTATTTGACAGAAGGAAACCCTGGTGGTGTAGTGGTTAAGAGCTACAGCTGCTAACCAAAAGATCAGCAGTTTGAATCAACCGGCTGTTCCTTGGAAACCCTGTGGGGCAGTTGTACTCTGTCCTAAAGGGTCGCTATGAGTCGGAATCAACTTGATGGCAACACAGAATAAAAAGTTGGCAACTCTGTGTTGATCTGAACATCTTCTGTGAATTTTATTGATGTGTGAAATCAAAATCTAGAAACCAAGGATCTGACTCCCCTGACTCTTGTGTAATTTTTAAAATGTAGCATCCCCCCTGATTTGTCTGCAGAAAGAAAGAGTACTACCTTGAGCATGTGACTAGCTGGCTGCTTTGACATTTACTTCTCATTACTAGTTAGTAAATTGGCATCGGGTTAGCTGCTTCAGGCTCTTACATGTGGCTTTTATTTAGTACGAGTTAGCGTCTCAGCTTCAGGCATTTGTCAAGATCAGACCTGGAGGCTACAGATTGGGGTTGGACCCTGATGAATTCTCCCAAGTAGGTGTCACGTTGTGAGGTCTCTGAAAGTTGGCCAGCCTACCTCTCTCTGGCAACATTCCCACTTCTACATCTCTGCCTTTCCCACTCTTAGGTCATAAAGATGCAGATGTATTATTTACACACTTTAGAAAAACAATACACAATTAGGCTGGTGTTTGAAGAAGTGGCTCCCTTTGCAGGGGATCTCAGTGCTTCTTACTAAGCGTTGGTTTTCTTTGGTCCCGTATAAACATAGAGTAGGTCAGAAATCTTTAAACCAGAATGGTCAAATCATTTGGGAAACATTGATTACATCATTTACTGCAGGACTTTAGAGTCTTTATTGTGGGGGTTTATATCACAAATCTCCCAAGATGTGGATATTTTGAGTAATGTTTACCAAACTCACTTAACCATGGAGTAAACTACTCACTTTGTTTTCCAAGCCATCTTATGCGATAGCATTCACAAATTGCGCTTGGGAAATCTTGCTCAGTCTAAGCCAGTGGTCTCAACCTAGACAGTTTTCCCCCCAGGGGACATTTGGCAATGTTTGGAGACTTTTTTTTTATTGTCAGACTCAGGGGGTGCTATTGGCATCTAGTGGGTAGAAACTAAACATCCTATAATGTACAGGACAGTCCCCCACAACAAAGAATTATCTTTGTTGCCAAAATAACAATAGTGCTGAAATTGAGAAACCCTGGTCTAAACCAATGTTTCTCAAACTTCCTTGAGATAAGAATGGCCTGGGATCTTTGTTTAAAAATTATCTGCCCTAGAGATTCTAATTCATTGGGTCTAAGGTAGGGTAAGGAGCCCTGATGGCACAGTGGTTAAGAGCTGTGGTGAGCTATGGCTGCTAACCAAAAGACTGGCAGTTTGAATCCACCGTCTGCTCCTTGGAATCTCTCTGGGGCAGTTCTACCCTGTCCTATAGGGTCACTGAGAGTCGGAATCTACTCAACGACAATGGGTTTGGTGTGGCTTTTTTAAGATGGGGTAAATTAGAGGGTCATTGAAAAAGAGGGAGGCCCTTAACGAGATGGATTGACACAGTGGCTGCAACAGTGGGCTCAAGCATAACAACGATTGTGAGGATGGCACAGGACCAGGCAGTGTTTCAGTCTGTTGTACATAGGGTTGCTATGAGTCGGAACCAATTCGACCGCACCTAACAACAACAAGATAGGGTCTTCAACAACAGCCCCAGATGATTCTTATCAGGGAAATTTTAGCAGCTGCTCTAAACCTCTAACTTACCTCAGGTCAGCTGGGAGAATAGACTTGACCTTTATTTAAGGCAGTGGTTCTCATCTTGAGCTTGCATCAATTGGAATTCACCTGGAGAGCTTAAAACGTAGATTGCTGGGCCTCACCTCCAGAGTTTCTGATTTAGTAGATCTACTGTGGGTCCCAAGAATTTGTGTTTCTAACAAGTTCGCAGAGGATGCTGTTGTGGCTGGCTTGGGAACCTCACTTTGAAAACCACTAGTTTGAGGAGTCTCTTCTTCTGCAGGTGGCGATGCCTCCATCATTCCAATGCTTGAGTTTGAAGACCAGCCTTGCTGTCCTGTCAGCAGAGATTGGGTCAACAGCCCATCTGTAGTGGTCAGTGGTAACCTGGAAGCTCCTAAAAACGAAGGGAAATGTGAAGATTCTGATAGTCCTGTAACCAAAAAGATGAAACTTGAGCCTGAAGCTCCTGCCAGGGAAGTCGCCAGTGATGTAACTCACCGTCAGAGTTTTGATAAGCAGGAAAGTGGCCAAATCTCACCAACTGTCAGCAGCTCTAATTTTACTGCAGAGGGACTGGCCACTGTGACCATTACAGCCCCAAGTGGTGCCAAGGTGGTGGATGTTTATAGAACTGGAGCCAAATGTGTGCCTGGAGAAGCTGGAGACTCGGGAAAGCCAGGCCCGGAGTATCACCAGGTGGGGCTGCTCCGAGTGAAGCCAGGCCGGGGAGACAGGACCTGCTCCATGTCCTGCAGTGACAAGTTGGCTCGGTGGAATGTCGTCGGATGCCAAGGGGCGCTGTTGATGCACTTTTTAGAAGAGCCCATCTACCTGTCCGCTTTGGTCATTGGGAAATGCCCTTACAGCCAGGAAGTCATGCAGAGAGCATTGATTGGGAGGTGAGAGGGCAGGGGGGGCGGTGATAGTATGTCTAGAGAGCCTTTTGATCTGTAATTTCACCTCTGGGAATTTTTCCTAAGGGAATAATTAAGAAAGTACTCAAACATTTAACTCTGTGTATGGTAATTTAAAAAGAAAAAAAAAAAAGGGAAACCACCAAAATACCCAGCAGTAGGAAGATGGTTAAATGATTTTTGTTAAAAATATTGTTGATCAGTACTGACGGAAAGAGGTTAAAATGTTTAAAAAGCAATTTAGAGGATAAAATGAGACCATTTTGATCTTAAAGTACATATGCACATAGAAAAAAAGGCTAGGAAGGTAAACACCAAAGTCTTAATAGTGGTTATCTCTGGGAGTGGGGGTATGGGAGTGACTACTAATGGGTATGGCATTTTATTTGGAGTGATGAAAATGTTCTAACTTTAGATTGTGGTGATGGTTGTGGAACTGCGAATATACTAAACATAATTGAATTGTACGCTTTAAATGAGTGAGTTTTATGGTATGTGAATTACCTCTCAAGAAAGATGTTTTTTAGAAAAAAAGAAGACGAAGAAAGAAGAAAATCAGCCCAGGCGCACGGTGCCCAGGGTATTTCCTGTGTTTTCTGTTTTGGAACATTAAACTGTTCGCTGTCTGCTCAGTTCTAGACTGGTGTCGTGTTGGCCTCTATTTTGCATGAAAGATACAAGAGAAAATGAAGCTTTTATGTTACAGTATAATTTTGGTTTCTGTGTGTTTGAAGAATTTCATAGGAAGCAGATGTCAGCAAATTGATATTTCTGCTTAGGGTTTTCAAATTTGTCAAAGCCTATACCATGTCAGGAATGAAAAGAGTTTGGTGTTACTAAAGTCACTGAAGAATGATGACTATATTCTAGAGTTATCACTCAGAATGATGAGGAAGGATCTTCCTCTAGCCAGGTTCTCATGGCCTGGTTTCTGGAACACCCACCTGTAAATCCCCCCCCCATAAATAAATAAACAATATTTATTGTTGATATGAATAATATTCTGTTGTATGGATATTAGTCCCTGGGTGGTACAAACAGTAAATGCGGTCCACCCAGTGGCACCTCAGAGGAAAGTCCTGGTGATCTAGTTCTGAAAAATCAGCCATGGAAAACCCTATGGAGCACAGTTCTACTCTGACACATAAGGGGTTGCCATGAGGCAGAGTCGACAGCAGTGTTTTTGTTTTGTTTTGGTACAGATATACCACATTTTGCTTATGCATTCACCAGTTGATGGACATCTGAGTTGTTTCCAGTGTGATGAACATTTGTGTGCAAGTTTTTGTGTGGCCAAATAAGCCTACATTCCTCCTAAGGCCTTTGCTTCACACTAAGACTCAGGAGTCATGATGTGGACCACAGTCCCTGATACTCATTTTCTCTACAAGTACACCTACGCTGAATGGATTTTCTCTCACATTTAGGTGTAGAAATGTCTCAGCTTTACCCAAAGGCTTTGGAGTTCAAGAGCTGAAAATACAGCAGTCAGATTTACTATTTGAACAGAGTCGCTGCGCAGTGCAGGCTAAAAGGACTGACAGCCCAGGCCGGTTTGTTCCCTGTGGGGCAGGTAAGTGGTCCTGGTTAGACTTTCCCTGTGGAGCAGCCTGGGAAGGGCTGCCTCCTCCCAGCCTAGGCAGCCAGCATACCACAGAGTGGTCAGTAGTTTGGGCTCTGGAGACACCCATACTGGGTCAAATCCCTGCTCTATATGACCCTGGCCACATCAGCTTCTCTTGGGCTCAGTGTTTTCATCATCAGATAAAAAGAATATAATTTATCAGAGTTGTTAGGAGGATTAAATGAGAAATTATATTTCATGCATTTACTGTGTCTCCGGCTTGTAATTAATGCTCAAGGATTGTTGGGTGCTAAAATGATAATGATGAATCATGAGCCACTTTATGCTATTGTACTCTGGATGCCAAGCATAGAGTGGCGGTCACCGTCTCTAATTTTGTATCCAACTTTCATGGGTCTGCAGAGGCAAAGAAATATTTTATCATAACACCTTTGCCATTTCTTTATAAAGAAAGCCAATTTTTAATCTCAGGATCATATTTTTGTAGCCATCAGCTGGAGTGCAGTTTCTGAGCAGCCCCTGGATGTTACTGCCAACGGCTTCCCACAGGGAATAACAAAGAAAGGCATCAACAACCATCAGGCCAGGTACAACATAGTGGGGTGGGAGGAGACAGCGGCTGTGAACTCACACATCAGGACTCTCTAGTTCCAGAACGTTTTCATCACCCCAAAAAGAAAACCGGTACCCATTAGCAGTCACTCTCTCCATTCCTCCCTCCCCCACAGCCCCTGGCAACCTTAATCTACTTTCTGTCTCCTGTCTCCTATTTTCAACTATTCTCCTATTCTGTCTGCCTTCTCTGGACATTTCATGTAAATGGAATCACACAATATGTGCCCTTTTGTGTCTGTCTTCTTTCATTTAGCATAATGTTTTCAGTTCATCCATGTTGTAGCATGTATCAGTATTTCATTCCTTTTTAGAGCTGTTGCGTGGGTGTATCACATTTTGTTGATCCATTCATCAGTTGATAGACATTTGGGTTGTTTCCACCTTTAGCTTTGTGCGTTTGTGTGCAAATTTTATGTGGATATATTTTCAATTCCCTTGGGTAAGTACCTAGGAATAGAATTGATGGGTCATATTGTAACTGAATGTTTAACTTTTTGAGGGACTGCCAAACTGTCTTCCAAAGCAGTTGTACCATTTAACATTCCTACCAACAATGAATGAGGGTTCCAGTTACCCTACATCCTTTCCAACACTTTTTATTGTCTGTCTATTTTATTAATACCCATCCTAGTGTGAAGTGATAATTGCATTATGATTTTGCATTGCCCTAATGTCTAAGACCTTTGGCTGCTAACCAAAAGGTCAGCAGTTTGAATCCACCAGCAGCTCCTTGGAAACCCCATGGGGCAGTTCTGCTCTGTCCTATAGGGTCGCTATGAGCCAGAATCAACTCGACAGCAGTTGATGTTGAGCATGTTTTCCTGTGCTTGTTGGCCATTTGTATATCTTCTTTGGAGAAATGTCTGTTAACATCCTTTGACCATTTTTTAATTGCATTATTTGTCTTTTTATGGTAGAGTTGTAAAGTTTCTTTATTATTCTGGATGCTAATCCTTTATCAGACATATGATTTGCAAATATTTTCTCCTGTGGGTTTTCTTTTCACTTTCTTGATTTTTTTGTCTTTTTAAAGCAGTAAAGTTTTTAATTTTGATGAAGTCTAATTTATCTATTTTTTCTTTGGTTACTCATGCTTTTGGTGTCATATCTCATAAACCATTGCCTAATCCAAGGTCACAAAGATTTATTTCTATGTTCTAACAGTTTTGTTCTTACATTTAGGTCTTTGACCCATTTTGAGTTAATTTTTCTGTATTGTGTGAGATAGGTATCCAACTTCATTCTTTTGCATGTGGATATCCAATTGGCCCAGCACCATTTGTTGAAAAAACTTCTCATTCCCTTGGGGAGATTTTTAAAAGAATACTCTTGTGCCTTACCACTAGGGATTCCGATTCAGCAGGTCTGGGTTGGAACCCAAGAATCGTTTGTGAAGGGGCTGTGGGGGAGTGGCCTCTCTATCACTGAAGGCATTTCCACCTCAGTCTGGATTGAGCTGCTACTGAAGTGACTGTTGTAGGACTCCCACTATTTAAATGTAGTCCCTTTTACTCTTAAGCTGCTTTTCCCTTGTCATTCCCTTATAAAGTTGAATTATAATTACAGTTTGTGGATGGAGTTGTTTTTTCTCTTTTTGATACACTTATTTGCCTACTCAAAACAAACAAGAACAACCACAACAAAAATCCAACTTACATCCTTTTGCACTTACTAAGAAGGTTTTGCTCTTCAGCTACTAACTCCCAGGGTTCAAAAGGCCTGGGCAGCAGACCCTGCCTGCCTCCTGGTAGTCAAGGCTGATGTAGCAAACACACTGACCTTATAGAGAGGGGAACCAAGAGCTGACAGCAAATCAGGGGTGTTTGGCTTTTCTAGAATGTGAGCTCAGTCGGTTTAGATTTAGAGTCACTGGAACACATGGTTTTATATGAGGGAAAGGAAGGCAGGTCAATCAATCAAGGCTTCATCTGGGATGGCCTGGCAGAAACCAAGAAGGTCCAACAAGAAGGAATCAACACTCACTTTCTTAACTATTACAAACCATGACCTCCGTCTGGAATTTTTTTGTTTAGTAGCAAAGGAATGGCTTCTAGAGGTCCATAATGCCTTTAGGAAGTCTGGAGATTCTGCCTCAGGTCGCTCATCCAAGCGGACTTCTAGAGCACAGTTCACCCAGGGAACAGCACTAGAGTCTCTGAAACAAAGCTTTCAATTTCTTATAAACAGTATTGCCTCTAGGGGCCCGCTCCCTTGAAAGGAGATGACCCAAGGTGTCTCATAGGCATTGTAGGACAAAATCTAGTATTTCATGTCAGTCTTTACCCTCTGTGAGTCTGTCACTTTGATGATCCCATTGCTGATGACATTTCATAAGATTAGATTCATTTTTGACGCCATCCTGAAAAGACAGGCATATTTTCTCCTTGCCAAGTACTGATGAAAATGCAGACTCCAGCACATTCAAACCTAAACACTCTGTGAAGCTTGGTAAAGGCCTGGTACATAGTAAGCACTTAATAAATACTCTTTGTCTTCTTTTTTGAACAGATCACGAATCAGCAAAGTGGACCTCTTTAGATCATTCCAGAAACTGCTAAGCAGTATTTCAGAGGACAAGTGGCCAGACTCCCTCAGGTGAAACCTTATTACCGGGTTGCTGTTGACCCATGTTTTTTTCATATTTAGGAAGACTTCTCTGGCAGGAGTGGTGGTTCATCAATCTCTCATTGCCATCAACTCGATTCCGACTCAAAGCAATCCTATAGGACAGAGTAGAACTGCCCTATAGGGTTTCCAAGGCTATAATCTTTACGGAAGCAGACTGCCACATCTTTCTCCCATGGAGCAGCTGGTGGGTTCATACTGCCAACCTTTCGGTTAATAGCTGAACACTTAACCACTGCCACCAAGGGCTCCTTTCAGCAATTTAATGGGCACTATTGACCACATACTCTTCTGTCCTCATGGCCTGACTTGCATATGTGCATGATATGTGACATGGAGGATGAATGGTTTTGGTATAAAATCATAAGAGACTGAGGGTAGAATCGGAGCCTGGCTCATTCCAGGCCCTCCTTTTAATCCACCTCTAGTCAGAGAGCAAGGAATCTCTGGGTGGGTCAAACAATTAAGTGCTCCACTACTAGCCAAACAGTTGAAGGTTCTAACCCACCTAGAGGCGCATCAAAAGGCAGGCCTAGGAATCTGCTTCTGCATGTAAAACATTTAACACAAAGCCTAGTTTACAGTAGTCTTTTGATAACTAGAGGAGCCCTGGTGGTGCAGTTGTTAAAGCAGTTGACTGCTAACGGAAAGTTTGGCAGTTCAAAACCACCAGTAAGTCTGTGGGACAAAGATGTAGCAGTCTGCTTCCATAGAGATTTACAGCCTTGGAAACCCTACGGGGTTGCTATGAGTTGGAATCGACTCGACGGCAGTGAGTTTCATAACTGGTAGCTGCTATTTTTATTTAATAAACAACTGCTGCATGGTTGAAATGTGTAGGCCACAGAAGAAAATCTTTTAACTGGGCATAAGTATGATAAGTATTACTCGGTATGTCATCTGTTCTTTGAAGTCAGCGATGGCCAGGCGTTTGGGAGCAGGAGGGTGGTAGATAAGAGGGGAAAATACTTTGCTTTATTAGAGAAAAATGCAGCCGAGAAGTTTCTAATGGCTGAGTGTTCTGATGGAAATTACACCCACTCCTCACTTGTCAACATGGTTAGGTTCCAAAGACCAGGTCATTATGTGAAAATTGGCATTATGTGAAAATGGAGGATGATCACATCACATCACAAAATATTGTATGGGACGCATATGTCCCTCTGGACCCGAGAGGTGGAAAATGTAGGTGAGTGCTGTGTGTCCCACTGGTCATGAAATGGTTGCTGCCAGATGTGTGTTGTTGATGTGCAAAATAGATAGTAGATTTTTTTACTATTGTCGTAAATGTGAAATGTTAAATAACGAGATAGTTGATAAGAGAGGAGTAGGTGTATGGACCCTCAGAAAATTTTAAAACAAAAAGTAGATACAATTATTCTTGTCTTATTTGGTTCTATAAGGATTGGACAGATCTAGCATTCTGTTTATTCTTACCTATTACAGTCCATGTTCTTTCTAGTGAATTCCCTACTAAGAGGATAGAATTGCTGTAGGAAAGCATTCCGAAATCCTCTATACCTAATCCTTTCATTACAAATCTGTCCAGTTGGTTGCTCAGGCATCTTGTGAGCAATGGTGATGAGCTGTTGAGTACCTGTGTGCTTGGTGGTATGTGTGTTTTAGGCGGCAGAAGCTAGAGACGTACCAGGAGTACAAGGAAGCTGCATCTGCTTACCAGGAAGCCTGGAGTGCACTCCGGAGGCAGGCATTTGGATCCTGGATCAAAAACCCACCAGATTATCACCAGTTTAAATGAGAAGGGAAAGTTTGCAGAGAACTTACTGGTGGCAGGATGTTTTCAGCGCTTCAACCGTCTTCTTCCTTCGTACTGCACAAGCCTTAGCTTTTCTGGTGGCTGAGTCAGAAAAAAAGTCTTCTACCAGAGCATTGTGTCTCTTGTGTAATATGGATGGAGTTCCAGAACATAGAGCCATTTATACTTGATTGAAGAAGCACTCTGCTAAAACGGCATCTCACTAATGACCTGAGTGTCTGTACTAAGTTGTGTTTTACTGGTTTTCTAAAATATGAAATAAGAGTTTGGAATGCGATGCCTTAAAAATACTCTGCAGGACTCAAATTCTAGTAAAAAGACCAGAATTAATGGTCTAACTGAGACTGGAGGAACCCCGGAAAGCGTGGCCCTGGATTCTCTCTCAGCCCAGAACTAGAACCGTTTCCGAGGCTAACTCTTCAGACAAGGATTGGACTGGACTGTGGGACATAAAATGATATTTATGAAGAGTGTGCCTCTTAGCTCAGGTAGATGCATGAGACTAAATGGGCAGCTTCTGTCCAGAGGTAGAGATGAGAAGGCAGAGAGGGTTAGGAGCTGGTTGAATGGACATGGGAAATCGGATGGAAAGGAGGCGTGTGCTGTCAGTATAGGAAGAGCAATTAGGGTCACATAACAATGTATACATTTTTGTATAAGAAACTAACTTGAAATGTAAACCTTCACTTAAACTGCAACAATAAACAAAAAAAATAAAAAATAAAAATCAAGCAACTCTGTTGTATGTGTTCCTAAATTGATTCAGCCAATATTGTGCTGAAATGTGTTTGAGTCTTCTCTGCAAGCTTTAGAGCTTCACCTGGCATAGTGAGTATGTGTTTTATATACCCAGCATTTCTTCCTTGGAGAAACAACCTTTTTCCCATGGACTTCAGTGAACCTGTGCTTTCCATGAGACTTGGTTGAAGCTAACCTCACTCCCTGGCTCCAGGAACAAGCATGTGAGCCAGCCCTGGACTGTCCTGGAACTGTTGCCAGAACTGTCAGGAGAGATGTTCTCTTAGATCTGGAGCTGTCAAGGCGACATCATCTTGGGATGGCCTATAGCCATCTTTTCTCACCACAGAGAGACAGCCAGCCAAAAGAATGATGGCAACAAAGAAGGCAGCAGCCAAGAGAATCAAAGCTCTAGTGACCTTGTTTGGGCATCTGGAATCAGATATGCCTGAAGCCAGAGGCCACCATGGACTTCAATATGTGTGACAAAGTCCTGCTGTTCTTAGTTTTCTATCACTTTCAGCTGAAAGAGTTCTGTCTGAAAGGTCAAAGATCCCTACAGCAAGTCAGAAACAGACTTAGCAACTGATCCTGTTTTAAGACACATGTTCTTAATAAGATTTAACTCTCAACTTCTTCACGCATTTTTAATTATTGACTGAAAATGAAAGCTCTTCATGTTGGGATTATTCAAGGACCTTGTTGGTTCTTCAATATTTTTATAGCTTTAACTATTTTTAATAACAGCCTTATTGAATTTAAATATATAATTTGTATACCATAAAATTCACCTATTAAACAATTCAGTGGTTTTAGTATATTCATAGAATTGTGGAGCAATCACTACAATCAATTTTAGAACATTTTCATCACCCCAAAAAGAAACTCCATAGCCATTAACAGTCACTCCCCACTTCCCCAACCATCCCAGCCCTAGGCAACCACTAATCTGTCTATATGGGTTTGCCTTTTCCAGATGTCTCACATAATGGAATCATACAATGTGTGACCTTTTGTATCTGGTTTCCTTCACTTAGCATAATGTTTTCAAGATTCATCATGGTGTAGCTTGAATCAGCACTTCATTTTATGGCCAAATAATGTCCCATTATATGGGTATACTGTATTTTTTCTATCCATTTACCAGTTGATGAACGTTTGAGTTATTTCCACTTTTTGGCTATTATGAATAATACTGCTGTGAACATTGGTGAGCAAATTTTTGTTAGGGCATATGTTCTTAAATTTTTTTTAATTACAGAGTAATGCATTTTATAAGCTATCCTTGAATATTTTTTCCACAAGAAATCCTTTTAGACAGCAGGAAAGAAAGGAAAAAAGACCCCTAACTGAAGGCCAGGATCACCAGTATGCTGCTTTAATCAAACAGAAAAATTCTTGTGCCTGACCCTGGATCCCACTTTATGACAGGAGTTAGGATACCTGGACTGAAAGGAGCGTTTATCCACAGATGATAGCATCTCTCTCCTATGAGATTTTTTTTAAAAGGATAAAGAATTATATGAGAATGTAAGGGGGTAATGTCTTTGTTATTCCTAAATTTTATGGTAAGCTCATCAAGTTTGCACTCAAAAACTAAACATAAAAAATACTCTTTTTTTCCTATTTTTCACATACAAAAATCTATATATACATTGTTATGTGACCCTAACTGCTCTCCCCATACTGTGACAGCACACTCCTCCTTTCTACTCCTGATTCCCCATGTCCATTCAACCAGCTCCTAACACTCTCTGCCTTCCCATCTCACCTCCAGACAGAAGCTGCCTGTTTAGTCTCTTGTATCTACTTGAGCTAAGAGGCACGCTCCTCACGAGTATCACTTTATGTCCCACAGTCCAGTCCAATCCCTGTCTGAAGAGTTGGC